TGGAGAGAGAGAGAGAGAGAGAGAGAGAGAGAGAGAGAGAGAGAGAGAGAGTTTACATGCATTCCACAGCAAATGTATGGAAGTCAGAAGACAACTTTCAGAGTCAGTTCTCTCCCTCCGCTGTGTGGTTCCCCAGGTATCACACTCAGGTCCTCAGGCTTGGCAGCCAGTGTCTTTACCCACTGAGCCATTTTGCTAGCCCCCTCCTCTTTAGATTCTAACCATCTTTGTTTTGACACTATTCATGCACAGTTCTCATTCTAGATGCACAATTTACTTCTGGGGATTAGCTTTTGAATTGGAAAGCAATTATCCCATTCACAAAGCTTTCTCAATAAATATCCCATTCAATCGTTTAACAAAAATGATTTCCATGCCTGCCCAGGAATTGAACACACCAATGTTGATTCCTGAGTCTTCATGAGGAGAACCAATAATTTACCAAATGCTCAATCATATGCAATGGAGATTGAAAAGCGGTTTGTTTATTTTAAACAAAAGCCTTTTTAATGGTTTCAAGACCATTTCTGAAGTGAACATCCACTAAGCAAGAGAAGATGTCCCCTGCACATCTCAAGGCTCAAGTTTTCCCTTTTAGGCTTCTGGATACAAATAGCTTAGGCATTTGATCTTAACTTAAAATGGTTAAGTTATACGAATGTTGGCCACGAGGATCTATTTCCTTCCTTTCTAGTAGAAAGATGATATTAGCTGGTGTAATTATATCCCTAGGTGGCATTAGCCACAGAATTGAAGGTTTGGCTTCCTCCTGGCATGCAAACCTTGAGTTTTGACTTGATGCTTCCACAGCTCGGGTGGATAATCATGCTACATTCGAAGGGTGGAATTAGAGTGTACGGTTGCTGCTCTGTGTTCCATGAGCTGAATATTCCAGTGCCAGCCCAGAAATACCTTACCAGTGCTGAAGTGTCCAGTTTTTCTGTGGCTTCTCCAGACTCTGTAAGTGATCTGGGAGGCAGATTCTAGTACATTCCAACACAGGGTCTAATTATGGGTGTAATGGTCGTGGAGCATTTCAAGCAAAATCCCACATACCCTACCTTGACCGTCTTGTTTTTACTGAAAAGATTACCAACCTAGTGTCAGCACTTGGAGACAGCTTGGGCTAAGTCTCTGAGACATAATCAAAGTCACAAGGAAAAACAAATAAACCCAGAGCATTGTGTTTTTTTCTGAGTGAAGAAATCCAGTTGTTGTGTGTGTTCTGACTGACATG